CGAGGATGCCCTGCTTGACTCGGAACTGTAGACGAAATCCGCGGGTAGTTTGGCCGTACGCGACGAAGCGAAGCAACATCACTCTTCGCCAACGAAGCATCGCACAACACAGTGTCACTGCGTGCATCGCCAGCTGGATTTCTCGTCGCGTGCGGAATCAGTCGTCGAATTTTGTGGAACCTCAGTCGGATCCTCATTCCTCCTCACCAGCGAAACCAGCGAGAAGCACCGATAAGTAACAGTCTCACTCGACGTTGTTTTCTACTGGCAGTTTTCTACTGTGGAAGGGACTTGTTGTTGTCGATGTGGTCACTGGTAGCCTTCGGATTTGGAGTCCGTGTTGATGGTTTCTCTCGATTTTACAGGGTCAAACTTCACTGATGAGGGTCCTGAGGCGTCGGTGTACTACAAAAGCCTAACTCAATCAATACACGTCACTTAAAACACGGTAGGTTCGGAAACCCCAAGACACGCCCATGTCAGGCACTAAATTAGAACTGCCTTCCACTTCGGGTCTTCTGATTCGTACTTCGGGTCACGGTCATCCCGAAGCCGAGCCACTTCGGGTAGACTGGTATTTAGGTTGCGGGAACTTCATTCGAAGGTTAGAGAATAGGGTATTCCTCGACATTTGAGGAAATGGTGGTGTTGCCTTCTGACATGTTACAGTGTATATACATGGGTGATTTGCGCGCACCGTGGCACTGCTGCAACTAGAAATCATACGCCAGCCTGTCAGCACAGTGTTTCTTCCTTCAAGGCCGCCCATTAATTATACAAGTGTTCTCGTTTATAGTCCGACGGATCAACATCGCCGCGCGCGGACTATGTGGCAAAACCTTGGAACCCAAGGCAAAACGCGATACTTATAGTCCCGTTCAGGAAAACTGCATGAAGAGTGGTTGTTTTGCTACTAGTTTCTGGAGTTTGGCATTTACGTAGATTTGGACCGCGCTTGCTTGAACTTCCAGTCGCACGGTTTTCCACGCTGATCAATGCCGCATGACTAACGGTCAAAACAAAACAAAATAAACTATGGTTTGGGGGTCGTCTAGTAACCCAAAAACTTCTTATCTACCCAGTAAGCGAGATAAACGAGATGTCATCGTCGATCGCGCTGGAGACAGCGCGACCGGATTGAGAAGTAGTCGCGGTCAAGAGAAACAATTACTTACAATTTAAAATTTAAAATATCGAATCGATGATCCCTTCTTCATCGTTTTCCATGAATGTTGGGGCTGGTTCGATATGGAGCCTCTGATTGGCTGTGGAGCTGATTCGTGCAATGATTCGGTCAAGCTGCTAGATTTCCCGCCAAAAACGGGACTCTAGGGGTCGGGCCAACCCTAGGCGATATCGGAAAATTCTACTCAGGGGGAAAAGGGACTCTCTCAGCGAGGGCCTCTAACCCGGAACACCTGTATGTGGCCATTCCTTCTTCCTTGCCTCCCATTTGCTCCATCCAGTCCTCCTTCCGTTTCAAGCAATATTGCCATTTCGAGCCAGCAAGTTATAGCAGGTAGGGTTTCCACTTTCTTGTGACATTCAGATTTGTCAGTAGACTAACTACTGACACTTCCTAGCAGCCCTCACAAGTCACGTAGGCTTTGAGTGACTGACGTTATATGACTAGCTCTCGAGATTCGTAAGAGGCTTTTGAGGTTTTCCCAAGTCAGAAAAAACAAACTCGCGGTTTTGAGCAGTCTCAACAACCTGTACTACTACTAGCGGATGGGAACTTTTAGCGGAGGCAGAAGTGATGCAGCTAACGATCTGCCCTGCGTACCAGAGTCGTCGCGGTGCCTCTCCTTAAATCAAACGGAAGAAGACTCTAGCCGTTTTTGCTGGCAAAAAGTCTCTCATAAATGGCTCTGCCATCGGACTGTGAAAAGGTAAGAATCGGAGTCTACTGCTTCACCCTGGATATGAATATGCCGATCTTTGAACCAAGTTAGAGGTTTTTTACGGTTCTCCCACGCTTATCGTGTGATCTCTCCCATGCTTACGGTCCTATCTCTTATGATCTCGCACCAGGGATCGACTTATCGTGTAATGCAAGGCCTAGTACTACTAAAATAGTCCTAAAACTGTCTCTCAGACTCTTTTTGGACGAAGTCTCTGCTCCTGAATGAAACCGTCCTGAATCTATACTAAAAGACACTTACAGGACAGAAATTTGATAAAAACGTGACCCAAAAGTATCCTAAAAGAAACATATCGGACAGAAGCTCAGACTTGGTCCTCAAAGTGACTTTCGAGACGGAACATTTTGGGGAGTCCCCACCTTAGGATCTACTTCACGTGTGTGTGTGCAAGGCTGAATCTCCTCCCCCTTGTACGCACCTCTCTCCCGCGATTCCACCCACCAGGATCTACTTCACGTGTGTGTGCAAGGCCGTCACGGGATGCACGGCGCGGAAAGTGGAGGACCGCACCCCCGGCCCGCCTCGCGGCCAGCGCCCCGCGCCACCCGCCGCCGCTGCCCCCCCCACCACTGCTGCTGCTGCTGTTGATCCTGCACGTGTTGCTGGTTATGACGCCGCCACCGGCCCTGAGCGCATGGGGATGCTCAAGGAGACACCTCCTCCTTCCTCTGCCCGCGTGGAAATGCGTACGGTGATGCGGATGACGACCTCCGGATTCCACAACCATCCTTCCTCGTTGGGCCTCAAGCGCCGCCGCCGCAGAGACGCCGCGACAAGTGCCACGGCTGCTCCTGTTCAAGAAGTTATGAACTGCAAAGAGCCCCTCTCTGCATCCCTGGAGGTCCACCGCAACCCAGGTCACGCGCCTTTGAAAGGCCCCTCGGAAAATCCTTTCGCGACAATCCCTCCGTCGATTTCCGTCGTGCCATTTAACAGCCCCAGAAAGACCATGGGTACATCTAGTAAAGCAGTCACTGACCTCATACCGTCCGTTCGCTCTCTAGTTCAAGCCAAACCCAAGGAGGCTCGCCCTTCCCTTCCGCCTGCGGGCCACTCCCAGGGGAGTGCTGACACAATGCAGCAATTGATCTTCAGAAGCATGTGTGATCAGATCATGGCACTAAGCAAAGATCCAGCGGAGATAAGCCAAGCCAAGGGTAAACCGAGCTTCCAGCCTGGTTGGGAGTCAAGCCTTAGTGCTGTCGAGAGAACAAACCACCGGCCTGGGGAGTTGAGCTACGAGCCTTCAAAGCGGCAGAGGGCAACGCCTGTGGAAGCCAAATCGGATGGTCAGGTGGAGAGGCGCGACGCCAGCTGCTGCCAGGAAGGGCCCTGGCCTGCTTGCCGTGCTGAGACTGCACCACACTTTCCAACAGCTTCGTGCACCACTCAAGGAGTGCAAAGGGGCAGCCTTGTACTGCCACATCGCTTTCCGGACCAGTCTCCGAACCCGGTAAGCCCGGCGGGCCAGGCAGGGCCGGCAGGACCGGCAGAACCAGCAGGCATGGCAGCTTCAGCCTTTGCAGCAGACCCAGCAGGGCAAACAGCCCCAGCAGCCTCGACAGCCGCTCCTACGCATGAGTGGCAGATTCCAGCTTGTGCCAAGGTTGTCGAAAGCAGCAATTGTGATGTTGCAACGCTGCTTGTGGAGCTTCTGACGCCGGCTGAATTGGAGGTCGTGCTCTCAAGGGTGGTCCAGTGGCAAGGACTGTTGGGGGAGGGAGCGAGGCGACTGAATGGAGCTTCTGATAGCAGCAGTGCCTGCATGCACACGACTCAAGGCGGCAGCAGCAGCAGCAGTAGCAGCAGCAGCTTTGTTGGTGTTCCAGGTGCAGCAGTCCAGGCTACTGGTGCAAGTATGGTTTCAGGCTTTGCTGGTGCCGTTGCTGCAGCAGCTGCTGCTGCAGCTGGTGATGATGGTGGTGGTGCTGCTGCTGCTGCTGCTGCTGCTGCTGCTGGTGCTGCTGCTGGTGGTGGTGGTGGTGCTGCTGCTGCTGCTACTACGATTGCTACTGTGCTGGACGCATTGGATGCATGCAAGAACCTGTACTATGCTCCTCATACCCAACTCGAAGCTTCATCACCAAAAGATCCCCTCCCATCTGCTACGTATCCTGTTCATTCTGCTTCAGCTCCAATCGCTGCTGCTTCCGTTTCCGCTCCTTTGGTTGGTCGTAGGTCGATGCTTGATCAATTTGCAGCTGCCTTACTTCAAAGTATGGGAGCTGCCCACTTAACTAACGCTATGGGAGCTGCACCCTTAACTAACGCTATGGGAGCTGCACCCTTAACTAACTCTATGGGAGCTGCTCCCTTAACTAACTCTATGGGAGCTGCCCACTTAACTAACGCTATGGGAGCTGCCCCCTTGGATTCATTTACCGACATGAACAACAAGGTTAGCTTTTTTTTCTCTTGTTTTCTTTCATTTTTCGAGTTACCAGCATAATCATCTTCGTACGTTTCTCCTGCTGACACCCCGTCCCCTCTCATGCGTTTTTCTCCATTGCAGCTTGTGCAGCATGCACTCACAGCACTGGCTATCCCAACCCATCCTGCTCCGACCAATCATACTCCGACTGATCCTGATCAAACTGATAACTCCCCAACCAGCCATGCCCTAACCTATCACGCCCCAGCCCAACGTGGCCAATCCTATCCTTTGCCATCCCAGCACGCCCCATCACATCACACCTCCTCCTACCGCACACCATCCCATAACACCGCGTGCCATCCATCTCCAACACATATGCCTCTAGCTACAGCTTGTTCGGTGCTGTCACGCGTGGATTTGGTAACAGCAGGATCATCGACACAGTCAACTGCTGCAGATCTAGTCTCAGCAAGTTCACTTATACGATCATTTGCGGATCTGATGTCTGCAAGATTACCACTACAGTCCCCTTCAGATATGGTGCCCGTAAGACCACCGATACAATCACCTACACGGTTGCTTCCAGCAGGACAACCGCTACAGTCACCTTTGCCAGTGTCACCTTTGGAACAGCTACAGTCTTTCAATGCGGACCAGCCACAAGTAACGGACTTGCCTCTGGTGCAATTGGCGGCAGGACTTCAGGCATCAAGCCTTGCTATGTCACCAGCAGCGGCACCACCAGCAGCTGCTGCACTACCAGCACCAGCATCACCATTCACAGCAGCAGCAGCGCCACCACCACCACCACCACCACCACCACCACCACCACCACCACCACCACCACCACCACCACCACCACCACCACCACCACCACCACCACCACCACCACCACCACCACCACCACCACCACCACCACCACCACCACCACCACCACCACCAGCAGCGCCAACAGCAGCAGCAGCAGCAGCAGCAGCAGCAGCAGCAGCAGCAGCAGCAGCAGCAGCAGCAGCAGCAGCAGCAGCAGCAGCAGCAGCAGCAGCAGCAGCAGATAAACCAATGGCTTTACCTGTACATTCTCATGCCAAGATCCATGTCCCAAGCCTGGTAGTAGCAGCACCAGGAGCCATAAAAACAGCAACGGAACTCCCGCTAGAGTCACAGCTGCAGGCCAGGAAAGAGATGCTATCCTCCCAGACATTCTTGCAGCAAGGCAAGGGCACGTTTGATGGTAAAAATATCACCGAAGGTGGTCAGATTGCCATGGTTGGGGGTCCGATTGGCAGGTGTGATGATCAAACAGGCATGGGTGATGGTCAAATTGGTATGTGTGATGATCAGGTGGGCATTGCCAATGTCCAAAAGGGTGCGGAGTCGTTCTGTGGCCAGCAGACTGGGGAAAAGGGACTCATGCCGCCAGCCATGGGAGGTGTTCCAGAGGACGGGAAGGCGCTGGAGAATTTTGACAGATTACTCGAGTCAATGTCGTTTGATGGCAATGAGCTACTCGAGTGGACTGTGCTAGCACAACCTCTAGATGGATATTGGCAAGAGAATACGGCTTTGACGGACTTGCTTTAGGGTGTAATTGAGCAATATATTGCACTTGCTTCCAATGCATTTGCTTGTTCGGTTTCTGTAGTAAATGGAATATTGTGTGATGTCACCTTTGCAACAGTGGGATAGAACGCACAAGTGCAAAAGGAGCGAAATATTGGCCATCTAACTGGTACATACAGGGTATAAATATATACCACGTGTCGTTTAGGGCCAGTCTCACGCACCAGGGGCCGAGAAGGGGAGGCGAAGCTGGAATTGGAGGGCGGTGGCGAAGTGAGCGGGCGCAAGTCTCAGAGATGGAGAGAATGGCACAACTTTCAATCAATCTCTCGCACCGTATCCCGACAGTGAGAGCATGCGTTGGGTCGGAGGTGCTGTGCACGACCAGGCGGCGCATTTTGATGGTTTGTACGTAGGCCTATTCTGACAAGGCCACCAGTGAAGTGGTCGAACGCGGCCACACACGTCACCGCTTTCCCGAGGAAACTTACGTCATCGTCGTCCATACGAGATGCGGACCAACGGCAACAGAGGGCGAGCTGCGAGTCATGGAGGGCAGTTACTATAGCAGCCATGCCAACGCTGTTAAAGCATTGGCAAGGTTGGCATGCAATACCAGTGCGTTGGGATTCGTTGCAGTGTACGCGCATACGGTATCTATAATCGCCTCGACCCCCCTTGGCACGGCCACACGAAATTGCTGAGGGATAAAGTAGTCACGTGCCCCACATGCTGTCAGTGTGAGAGTTGTTCTTGATGCGAGGCGTGTGATGCATTCCCCAAAGGCGATGGGCCTTGTCCCACCGTCTAGCTTGCTAAGGGCAACGCGGTGGGATGCTGTGAGGAGGCGTGTGGAGATGGCTTTCCACAGCAGCATTGACCAGGGCAACGTCGCGTAAATGTTCAAATGTCGTGCCAACCCCATTTTTGCAACGTAATCATACCTTAAGAAAGGCATCCAGCGACACTGACAGCTGTGAGTCTGCTATAGTGATTGACCAGGTGAGTGGCGTATCAAGGTCTGTTGGATGTTTGGCGCAGACTGCCTCCATTACGGACGGGGATGGTGTGCAGACTGGCGTTGCTTCGAGTGACATGACTGCCCACCTGAGACTGCCACGTCGCGCCAAGCCTTCCGCCCTGGCAGGGACACCGACGCCGTTAGGTTGGTGTCGTGGTAGCAGGGGTGTGGATAATGACTCCACCGTGTCTTGGTACAGCTTTTCCCATTCTCAAACAAGGAACTACTGCAGATAGGTCATCACATTGGGTCAATATGGATGCTTGGATGAAAGCTGGCGTAGCGCTAGACGTGTGATATAATGAAAGCTGGAGCAGTGCGAATCGCTCGTGCACTCTCGGTCGACCACTTGCGACCGCCTTGGTCGGTGGGGAGGTCCCGGTCGTGGAGGTACAGATTGTCAAGTGACATCCGCCGTTGAACACGTCCTTGAGGCCTTGTGTGGCGCGTTGGAGACCACATTCTGTCAGGAGAATGAACGAGGAATGATTTACTAACAGCAGGATGGGTACAAGTACTAACCCTAATTGGGTTGTACCCCATATGGGCTACCCCACTATAGCCTACACAAGATATAGCATATAAGTTTGACACACCCCCATAGGCAAAGTGGGGGAGAACAAGAGGTCACAAGACCAGTCAAGATAAGCAAAGCAAGCGCAGGGTGGATCACGAAGTCACCACGCATTCTGAGCACAAGCAAATGGCCACAAGGCCAGTTCACATGCAGAGTTATATAAAGGAGAACAAGCAATACAGTGATCACAACCTAGCAAGTGTAAGCATGCACGTATATGTATAGAGATCACAGTACAAGCAAAGTCAAGAAGTGAGCAAGTGAGGCCAAGTAGGCACAAGGCCTAGAACAGTACAGAAACACTGATGATCACAAGGCTGAAGTGCCTTGGTGAAGATATCAGCAGTGTTGGCCCGAGTGGCCACGTAAGCAAGACGAAGCTGACCACGCTGCTGTAACTCTCGAGCAAGGAAGTAGCGCAGAGCGATGTGCTTCAATCTGTGCTCCAGTCTGTGCTCCTGACACAAGGCAATCATGGCCTTGTTGTCGACGTACAGAACTGGAGGAGAACGAGGCGGCTCTCCCAAGTCGGTCAGCAGGTAGGTGAGCCAGCGTAACTCCTGTGCAGCCATGGCCCCTGCGTAGATCTCAGCCTCACAACTGGAACTGAGAACAGAAGACGAGCGGGTAGACCGCCACGAAACAGAGCCGGAGCCAAGGCTGAAAGTGTAACCCTGTGACGACCGCTGCGTAGCCAAGTCGTCAACCCAGGAAGCATCTGCGTGACCAGTGAGGACAACTCGAGCCCGTCCTCCAAGCACGAGCCCCATGCCCGACGTACTGCACAAGTAGCGCAACACCCTCTTAGCGGCATCCATGTGCTCTGGTCGGTGTCTCCCAGGAGCAACATAGCGTGCCAGGATGCTAAGAGGGTAGGCAAGGTCAGGTCGAGTGCAGGTCATCAGCTACATGAGGCAGCCCACAAGCTCTGGATACGGGCCACTCGGCTCTACGGACTCATCCGCAGGCAGAGCTGAGAGCGAGTGGCGAGTAGGCAGAGGAGTGGACTGTGGCGAGGAGTACGTGAAGCCGAAGCGCTGAAGGACCTGCTGCACCATGTGTGACTGAGTCAAGGTAATGGTGCGCTGTGCTCTGTCCCGGGTGATCTGCAAGCCAAGATAGCTGCGCAGCTCACCCAGGTCTGTGCACGTGTGTCTCTTCTGCAGCTCCGACTTCACAAAGGCGAGTCCCGCAGTGTCAGCAGTAGCAAAGACCAAGTCGTCGACATACACGAGGATGTAGAACGGCGGCAGAGAGGTGTCGGTGCGTAGAAACAGCGACGGGTCAGCAGAGGAAGGAGCAAACCCAAGAGCCGCAAGCGTCGTCCTCAGAGTGTCGTGCCACTCGCGAGGCGCCTGGCGGAGACCGTAGACTGGCCGCCGGAGGCTCCACTGGGTACCAGCAGGAAACGACCCAGTGAAGCCAGGTGGGCGGCGCAGCCAGATCTCCTCGTGCAGGCTGCCCTGTAGGAAGGCTGTGCTGAAGTCAAGAGAGTGAAGCTCGTAGTCACGCTGAGCGGCGACGTGCAGCAGCACCCGAAGAGTGGTCATCTTCGGGGTAGGGGAGAAGGTCTAAAAGAAGTCAACTCCCTCTCGCTGACTGAAGCCTCGTGCAACGTAACGCGCCTTGAAGACAGGCGGAGAACCCGGCGGCCGCTTCACCCTGAAAATCCACATGCCACTGACGATGTTCGCCCCAGGTGGGGGAACTTCGTCGACGAATCCGGGTCTCCCTCATGGGCAAGCAGCATGGACACGAGATGAGGTAAAGCAGCGGCAAAGCACTCAAACTCCTCCTGTCTGTCCTCAAAGACGTCCGTGCTAAGGGCACACTCACCCCCGACGGACGGAGGACAGACAGACTCAGACTCAGACTCAGCAACAAGACTAGCGGCGTAGTCTAGACGACAGGCGGCAGCAAAGTCAACAAGCTCAGCAACTAAGGCAGATGCAGCAGTGGACTCAAACGAAGGGTGAGTGACAACAGTAGCGAGAAGACGAGTGACAGTAGGACTGGCAGCACGAGCAAGGTCTGACGGCGGGTCAGCAACGTCAGGAAGAGAGGACGCAGGAGGAGACGGCAGAGGGACACGCTGTGGAACAGAGGAAGGACGAAGTGCCATCTGGTGCGTGCCTGGGACAGGAGGAGGACGCGGACGTGGAACACGACGACCAGTGCGAACAGCGCGGACAGGCGACGCAGGACAAGACTCAGGCTCACGACGCTCCGCAAGACCTCCGGTCGGCCCAGTGTAAGGAGAAGGACCAGGCAGTGGGGAGGCTGGCTGTAACTGCGACTGTGATTGGTCAGGCGGTGGACACAGTAAGGGAGGAGTAGGGCCAGTAGAAGGCGGGAGACCAAGAACCTGCTGAAGCAGTGGAACGAAGTACGGCCGCGGCCGCGCAGTGCCTCCAGAACCAGCACCGACAGCACTAGCACCCCCAGGGCCAGTACCTCCAGCTCCAGGGTCTCTAGCTCCAACTCCAGCAGCACCACCCGCTCCAGCTCCAGTGCCTCCGGCTCCAACGCCTGCAGCACCTCCCGCTCCAGCAGCTCCAGTACCTCCAGCAGCTCCAGCTCCAGCTCCTCCAGCTCCAACGCCTGCAGCACCTCCAGCTCCAGCAGCTCCAGTACCTCCAGTACGAGCACCTCCGGGACCAGCAGCTCCAGTACCTCCAGCAGCTGCAGCTCCAGCTCCTCCAGCTCCAACGCCTGCAGCACCTCCAGCTCCAGCAGCTCCAGTACCTCCAGTATGAGCACCTCCGGGACCAGCGGCTCCAGCACCTCCAGCAGCTCCAGCTCCAGTGCCTCCAGCAGCTCCAGCTCCAGCAGCTCCAGCACCTGCAGCACCACCAGGTCCAGCAGCTCCATTACCTCCAGTACGAGCACCTCCGGGACCAGCGGCTCCAGTACCTCCAGCACCTCCAGGACCAGCAGGTCCAAGGCCTACAACTCCAGGGCCTCCAGCGGAAGGCCCCCCAGCTCCAGCAGCGGCTCGCTGAAGACTCCAACGCTGAGCAAACCACTCGCGCAGTTGCGGTGGAGAGAGAGGCTCCCGCCGGGACGAGGCACCCGGAGAACCTCTAGTACCTCCAGCACCTACAGGACCAGCAACTCCAGCACCCCCGGTCCCTCCAGCTCCAGCGCCTCCAGCTCCAGGGTCTCCAGCGGCAGGCCCCCCAGCTCTAGCAGCGTCACGCTGAAGGCTCCAGCGCCGAGCAAACCACTCGCGCAGATGCGGTGGAGAGAGAGTCTCCCGCCGTGACGAGGCACCCGGAGAACCTCTAGTAGACAAAGTACCCCCAGGCGCAGCACGCTCAGACTCAGCACACCCAAGCTCAGCACCCCCAGGCTCCGAACGCTCAGGCTCAGTACCCCCAAGCTCAGCACCCCCAGGCTCCGCACGCTCAGGCTCAGCACCCCCAGGCTCCGCACCCTCAGACTCAGCAACCCCAGGCTCAGCACCCTCAGGCTCCGCACGCTCAGGCTCAGCACCCCCCGGCTCCACACGCTCAGGCTCAGCACCCCCAGTCGCAGCACCCCTAGCAGCACCAGAGTCAACAGCTACCTCGACAGGCTCGACAGGGTCTACCTGAGACACACCTGAGGGAGCAGGACCCTGAGGGGGGAGGGGGTCTACCGGAGGAGGACCTGGTGCGAGGAAGAGCGGCGGGGGGGGGAGAGGGGCAGTGCGGTAGGGGAAGAGCAGGTAAAAGGGAACCGACTCGTCGAACGTGACGTCCTGAGAGGGCAGGACACGGCGCGAGGTGGGGTGGTAAAACTGCCAGCCAGGCGCGTCAGGGGGAAAACCAAGAAAGACACAGGGAATGGCGCGGGTGGAGAGCTTGTCCGCGGACGTATCGCGGAGAAAGGCACGAGATTCCCAGACCCGGAACACCGACGCGTCGCCAACCTCTCCCGTCCAACGCAGTGTCGGCGAGGTCTCCGGCAAGGAGACACGGGGCCAGAGGTTGAGC